CAGGCAGCGGACTTGCTGCTGCTGCTGCTGCTGCTGCTGCTGCTGCTGCTGCTGTGTGGCTGTGCGTGCGCGCGTGGGTTTGTGCTGCTGCTGTTGCCTGCTGCTTCTGCTGCTGCTGCTACTGCTTCTGCTGCTGCAGCGTCCACTGCTGGTGCTACTGGTTCTGCTGTTGTAGCGTCTCCCGCTGCTGCTGCTGCTTTCCGTGCTGCTGCTGCTGCTGCTGCTGCTCTTGGGGGCCCTTACCTGCGGGAAGTGAAGACAACTCCTGGGGGGTTCCAAATGTGCCAGAGGGACCCTGCTGCCAGCTGCTTTGCTGCTTCTTGCTGCTGCTGCTGCAGCAGCAGCAGCAGCTCAGCCTCGCGTCGCCTCCAGAACCCAATAGATCTAAAAGCGCCCACAGCCCGGGGGGCCCTTGGGGGCCCTAAAGGGGCCCCCAAAGACCCCAGGGGGGCCCCCAGGGGGCCCTCCAAAGGGGCCTTCAGGAAGGCCCCCAGAAGGGTCTCCCCAGGGGCCCCCGGGGCCCCTAGTTGCCTCTGGGGGCCCCTCTTCAGGGCCCCCCTCGGGGGCAAGGGGGCCCCTTGGGGGCCCCCTAAGGTCCCCGCAAGAGAGTCTCTAGGGGCCCCCAAAGAGGGTACTGCTGGGGGCTCCTTCAGGGCCTCCCGGAGGAACCTCATGGGGGGGCCCCCAAAGAGGGTACTTCTGTGGGGGCCCCCTAAATGGCCCCTGACGCTCCTCAAGAGGGGCGCGGGGGGGCCCCTGGGGGGCCCCCCCATTATCGTTCTCATATAAGGAGCTTTCGGGGCTCCCCAGGTTTCGCTTATCCTGTGGGGCCTCCGGGGGCCCCCAGGCTTTAGCTTTGGGGGCCCCCAACTGCTTGGGGAGGCCCCGGGGGCCCCCAGGTAAACAAGGTACTGGGTCCCTTGGGGGCCCCCCTGAAGACTGTGTCAGGCTGGCTTGAGTAAATATTTGTTATTTAAAATGAGTCATTTAAGACAAAATGGGTACAAACAGAAAAGGGGCCCCTGAAGGGGCCCGTAGGGGCCCCCAGGGGGCCCTCAGGGGGCCCCCGAGTCTTGGGGCCCCCAGTGCCCTGTGCGTCATTGGGGCTCATATATACTTATTTAGTCCAGAATTTAAATCTTAAGTTTATTAATCTGAATAATTTGAATAAATATATTTACAAATATGCCATTATATGCTGAATAAATAAATAAATGGGCCATCAGGGGGCCCCCAAGGCCCCTGTAAGGGTCCTCAGACCCAAATTTGCTGCTGCTTGGGGGCCCCCTCGCTGCTGCTGCTGCTGGGGGCCCCCCAACTGCGGCTACGGGGGCCCCCCTAGCTGCTGCTGCTGGGGGCCCCCT